ATTTTTTTTTTTCCAAATGAAACCACAGCCATAATTTATACTACTTCTAAGGAATAAACATCTCAGCTGTTTCATACTGTATGTCAATATTCTCAACGTGTGAGCTGTCTCCTGCTGTCCGCCTTTCATCTCATATAAGTTAAAAAGGAAAGGGACTGTCCTGCATGGCTGCTGATGTGAGTGGTGTTTTTGGTGTGTGTGTGGGGGGGGGGGGAGTACATGCGTGCCATTCAAACGAGTTCCGGGCACTGTTAAATTTGTCTGCCTCCCTGCCCCATCAAACAACAAATATAAACAAAAATGAGGCCCCCCACAACTTTTTCCTATGCTAATTCTTATGATTACATTTTTTATTTTAAAAAAAACAGCTTTTATTTTTAAGGCATATATACATATATATATATTTAAAAATAAAAAATAAATTTTTATATATAAATATATAATAGATTAATAGATAAAAAGTTTGACATTTTCTTGACCCCTTTTACTTCCAACTGGGGTCAGTTTGTAATGTTGACGTACACCAGGGTGGTTTTTCATTAGATAAGATGTAGATTGTTTGTTCTAATTTGAAAGTTTTTAACTTTACTCTTATGTAATCAACGCGTTTCTATCCCAAGCAAATTTACATTATGTCCATTAAAAAAAAAAAGAAATACACATTTATGTACTGTTTGTTTGAGTCAGTGTGGGAGAGTCATTGCACATATTATATAACATAAAAATATATGTATTTTTTTACCTACCCCCCTACCCCTTTTAATATTATATAATATTTCCAGTGACCAAAGTTTCCAAATATTAATGAAAATTTATATCACCCCCCTCCCAATCACACACACTTTTTTTTCCTTTCCACAACTCCGATAAAACATTGGCACAACGGAACTTTTAAACACGCTAATTAAACTGTTCCTGTTAACCAAATGTTAATTATACACACTGGCTTGAAAGAATTCGGAAAAGGTAAATAAAGACTAGACTAATACTAATAAAGAAGGCTGCCTTTAAAATTTTGCAAGTGTACTTATAAACAAATTATTTAGTCAAGATTTTAATTATAAGAAATAAGAATTATTATTTTTTTTTTGTTATAATATTGCTTTTATCCACCCCATCACAAATATAATACAATATAACAAAATAATAAAACACCCGTATATAATATGTGCAAGTTCACTTGCCTTATTTCAATTTTTATTATTTTTAAAAATGATAATGAATGTACACAAAATAATATTTTAATAATAATTTTATAATAAAATATCGGTAATTTTTTCAAAAAGAGATATTTTACTGTTTAGGGGATGTAATCCATAGTTAACAAAAAATATATATTTCTGATATTTAACTTATTAATGTTTCTTAATTTACCATAAGTTAAATTTATAATTGATTAAATTAAAAACGTTAGCATTTTACTGATTGCTTTTTTTACTTGTCATTCCCAAATAATAATACAAATATTCGCAAAAGGTAAACGTTGAACAAAAAAATTAGATACGTTTCGTAGCTTAAAAACATAGGAGTCCTATTATAAGTCACTGTCATAGTATTGTGAATATGATACGCTTGCACAGCCGAGGTTTCTGTTGCCACCCCCTTTTGTTTTTAAATATTAACTCTTTCTCTCCGGAATTATTTTCCGCGTTCTGACGGAATTATCTATTTTGCGTTTTTGGAACGCACTACTATGTTGTCTCTAAACCTTCATAACTTTTTGTTTTTCATCAGAAAGTGCTAAGTGTGGTATGGAATTAAAGGAGAATGTATGCCCTTTACAAGCAAACCAGACTTGGGTTTACATTTTAATATATAAATGTGATTATCATTTCAGAAAAATAAAAATTAAAGATAAAAACTTACCAACTGTTCACAAAACGCTGATTCCAAGTCACACGAGGAGAAATATATAATCCAAAGTGTAACAAAAATGTTTTTTTTCTGAACCATATCCATATGGGCATCACAAATAATAAAGATCAACTTAAAAAACGAATAAAATTAAACCTCAGAGCACATTATCCATTGTCACCGTCACACACAAAATTTGCGAATTTTTTTTTACTATTTCCACTGGAAACAATTTGTTGCCATTATAAAATATTTGCACTGTATTCTTGTATGTACTAAACATTTATAATGGTAAATGGAACATTTACCATACATTTGTCATATCTTTTCATCTGTATTTAGCTATGATAGCTAAGCTATGGTAAGCCTAAACAATTCATATTGATGTGCACTTTAGCTGGGGGAGGGGCTGGTTGCTCATCAGCTGATAAATTACCAATTTCATTATTGCGTCACTGGTACTACTAATACTGTACTAGGATTATAATCATACTATTCAAAGGAATCAGCTTCTGCATTTGAAATAATAACCGCTTCAAACAATTCGTTCTTCGTTCAAACACAGTAAATCCGGATGTTTATGAAAGGGAAATCATTCTAGAATTGATTTAAAATAACTAAATACCAATAGATAAGAAAAGAACCGAGATAAACAGGTTTTTATACATCGACGATCATTTCAAATCGACGATGGGAGCGTTGTCCCGGAGAGAAAGAGTTAATTTTTTTTTTTTAAGCCAAGAAGAGAAGCTAAGAAATAACTAAAGATGAATAGGTCCTATTCAGCCCAAAATTGAAAGATCATTTTTCTTGTCATTTTTTTTATTGTGTGATCACAATTTCATGATTAAGTCATTTTTTAACAACTTTACAGACAACGTTAATCATTATATTATATTCTGAGTCTCTTTTTAAAATAATTAAAGAGAAGACAGTAATCAACAAGTAAGGCTTGTCATAATATTTATTTAAGACACGTTTTGACTAGGCAACTTCAAGGCTAAAAAAAGTATTTGAAAAAAAAAAAAAAAAAAAAAAAAAAAAAAAAATTTTAAAAAAAAAAAAAAAAAAAAAAAAAAAAAAAAAAAAAAAAAAAAAAAAAAACAACATAATTTTAAAATAATAATACAGAAGGAGAAAGGCGAAACATTCTGTAGCATAGCAAAAAATGTCATTGACTTAATATGAAAACGAAAGTTATTTTAATGTGTCACATGACCAGAAAGCTTCATTTTTCAATCACGTGAGAAGTGCATCCAATACATTCACATGTAAACATGTGACAAGAAAATTCTGAATGTTAAACTGATACGTAATACCAGTCAACAGTGACATATTCATATTTGATTATAGATTAATGTGCGCAGTAATAGTCAAATACAGTACAGTGACAAACGTGATTATACTTATAGTATAGATTCATGTGCTTTTAGTGCTCAAGTTAATAATTAAAAGAATTTAACTATAACTATGTCTCAAGTTCGGAAAGCACTAGATTTCTCCATTCCAGTTTTAATAATTATTGTAATATTGTCGATGAATCGGATAACTGTGGGCCACACTCTGGCGGAGAAATCGAGAAGAACTATCCATTCTTTTGATATTAATGATGAGAATAATAATACTATCACCAAAGGTTCCAAGCCAAATTTCGTAATTATGCTAATGGATGATGTAAGCACAATATAAATATAATATGATATGTTAATTACTTGTACTTAGGCCTTAAACTTTGTCTTTTAAAATAATTTTATTTTTGAAGGATCAAAATCAAAGTATTATTATTATAACTATGAATAAAAGTATGAGTCAACATTTTTAATGAAAAGTAAAAAAAAATAAAAAATATACCTATGCCACTTCAAGACTGAATATAAAAAGAAATAAAGACAAATATAAATTATATTACTATTGACTATTCTAATTCTGGTAAAAGTAAAAGGGTTAGAAAGCTGCCACCAGCCAGGGCAAACCCAGAAAGGGTGCCCCAACCCCCATTCATTAAATGATCTACCTTATATTATATTATATTTAGTATAGTAATAGTATATGAATTGGTGTGGCTAGACTGTCTGTTGCACAGAGTCAAACCCCTCACATTCATAAATATAAAATAGGGCTGCAGGTGGGAACCACTGACCTCTCTTCCTATGCTAAAGGCAAAGGATATAGGCCCATATATATATATATTATATATATAGCATCTGCTATAGGGACCATATCTCCAATGATGCAGTGACAGAAAGGGTTCATCAGGCAATTGGGGAGTACAATGACCTACTGGTGGATGAAAAAACGCCAACTACAATGGTACGGCCACGTAACAAGGAAACAAGGGCTTGCCAAAGAAATATTGCAGGGCACCGCAAGAGGAGGGAGAAGAAGAGGAAGACAAAGAAAAAGATGGGAGGATAACATCAAAGGGTGGACAGGACTAACACTGGGCGATGCAGTGCGTAGTGCTGAAGACAGAGAGGAATGGAGGAGGATGGTTCATATGTCATCTGTGGCGCCCCAACGGTCCAAGGACTAAGGGATATGAGGATAACATATATATATATATATATAAATGAATTATTTTGACACCTGTGATGAGGGGCAGCTGCTTTCTTTGACACATTGACACACACCTTTTTTTCACACTCCCTTGATAGACCTAGTGCATGGTTTCACTGACATTAAACTATAGTAGTAGTAGAGTCAGAGGTTAGTGTCAATATTTAATTTCTTTAAATCCTCCCCCCCCCCTCACTTGTTTTCTCCTAAGTTTGCCTTTGTAATGGAATTGTGCTGTTTTCTGTGTCATGCTAGATGGGTTGGGGAGACCTTGGCATATTTGGAGAGCCCAACAAAGAAACACCTAATCTTGATAAAATGGCTGCTGATGGAATGTTATTTCCAGACTTCTATTCAGCAAACCCTCTGTGTTCTCCATGTGAGTAATATTTATATAACTTAACAAATATACGGTATATTCGAATTTTAATTTATTAATGGTTAATATTTTTTCCTCTTATAACTTATAATCACTTTTTCAGCTCGTGCAGCTCTCCTTAGTGGTCGTTTACCCATAAGGAATGGGTTCTACACAACAAACATGCCAGGACGTAATGGTAAGTAAGAGTAAAAAAAATGTAATAGTCATTTCAGAAGTTGTTAAAGAGTAGTTTTCAGAACCAAATAATTTATAATCATCAGCATTTGAAAAAAATCTCAAAAATAGTTTGACTGATTAAATATTTAGTTAAATATGAGTGTGTGATAAATTCAAAAACAAAAATTAAATTAATGGCATTGATCTCAAAATTAATTTTATTATATTTAGGAAGTTTTAAGTCTATGCTATACTGTTCACTTAAAATTTTAATATCAAAATTTGTAACATGGTTGATTTATATATTATTGGCTATAATAAATCTTTGCTTTGTATAGCATACATTTTAAGGTCACAACAACCTTTTTTTTCTTTTTTGTGTAGAGAAATAATATAACCTTTTTTTTTTTTTATTTCAGCTTACACTCCACAAAATGTTGTTGGTGGTATCCCAGACCATGAGATCTTGTTTCCTGAGCTTCTCCAGACAAAAGGGTATCGCAATAAAATTATTGGCAAATGGTGAGTTTTGAAACGATTGAATTTTGGATGTTCTTTTTCCTTAATGGAGCAATAAAATGTATATGACCAGATGATAGTCTTTAAATCTTTAAAATTGATCGTTAGAACAATGTGTCACCTTTGAAAAAACTCTTTTATAATTATTACAAACTCCAAAATTGCTTTGATTCTGCTTTATAAAAGCTGTTTATAAAATTAATAATTGTGAATCTACTTTGATAAAAGCTATTTATAAAATTGATATCATCTCATGCATAACTCCAATTTTATTTTTATTTGTTACCTGAGTTATTTTTTTCTTTGTTCACCCCTAAGAGTCTAAGAGAAGATAAATTATGCGGGGAATTATTTAACATTTCATATCAAAAACATGTCTACATTATACCACTATTTAAAAAAATATATAATATGTAAATTGAATTTATACTAATATTATATTAATTTTTTTGTTGTTTTACTGATGAAGGCATTTGCCAATATTTTTGCATATTTCAATGTAACCATAATTAAAGCTTAACCTGTGACCTATATTGTTTTCTTTCCACAAATTTTCTGAGTCTCATTAAACTACTTAAAAACATTTCTCATTGTGTGACTGTTTAGAAATAACTATACAAATTTTGTCAACGCAATTTGAAAATATATCATTAATATTACATTTTTGAACATTTCAGGCACCTTGGTCAACAACCTCAGTTTCATCCACTGAAACATGGATTTGATGAGTGGTTTGGGTCGCCAAACTGCCACTTTGGACCATATGATGGTAAAACAATCCCAAACATTCCAGTTTACAAAGATGCAGACATGGTTGGCAGGTATGTTGGGATTAAAAGCACTGTTGTACTCCTGTTCACAATGAAATTTGTGAGAAATAAGAAATAACTTTATTAATATTATTATGGCCATACATTATGCATATTCTTAGTTTATTTATGTTAAAAGTGAATTCATTTTTTTTTAACAGCTAAATCATACTAAATGGAGTAACAATTAACCAAAGCCATCTCATAATTATATTAAAAAAAATATCTGAAGCATTTTGTTCCAATGCATTTATCTAACAGATACTTTGAGGATTTTGTTATTGATGTCAAAGCTGGAGAATCTAATTTAACTCAAATGTATATCCAGGTAATTAATTTATTCATGCAGTCACTCAGATACCGGTAATATAGACTTAGGATGAATTTGTTTCATTTATTAGTTGTTCCCAAAGGCAAGGATGTGGAACAGTGTTGCGGCTTGTTCTGATGGTCAAAACTTGATCCTTTTTTTGGAGATCAGGAGATACGCATATAAATTATTATGACAGTTGTCTTTAACAAACAAAAAATAGAAAACATTTTTAATGTGTACATTTCTGGAGAATGTTGTTTAATATCCTATCACTTACTTGGCCCTTGAGGGTTGAATGATGTGTGTCTGTCAAGCTTTGATTCTCTTACCATCATGGGCGGCCGCAGGTAGGGGCAAGGGGGGGCACTTGCCACCCCCTGGATTGATTGGATAAAAAATTTTTAGACAAAAAATTTATTAAAGTAAAGAGAAAATAAAGAGAAAGTAACTAAGAACTAAGCTGATGTCCGTTCGTTCACCATACAAATACGCTACAGTAAATTAAAACTATATTAAAACAATACTAAAATATTTTTGTCGTTCCCCCCCCCCCTGGAAAGTTAATCGATTTTGTTGTTCCCCCCCCCCCCGAAAGTTAATCTATTTTTTTTTTCCCCCCCCCCCCCCACCTAGAAAATTTTCTGCGGGCGCCCATGCTTACCATCGTAGTACAATGAGAACCTCTTGCAGCTCTGTGAAAAATAAATGTCAAGGACAAATGGGAAATAATAGCACCAAAAAACCTTTAGTACAGAAATTGAGCCTCACTGATATGTTTAAAAAACAAAATTGTTTTACCAACAGGAAGCTGTAACATTTATTGAGAAGCAAGCCAAGAGCGGTCAACCGTTTTTCCTGTACTGGGCGGTGGATGCAACACACCAACCTTTGTATGCCTCTGCTGCTTTTCGAGGAACTTCAAAAAGAGGATTGTGGGTACCATTCATTTAACTTTTTATTTTCATTCTCTGCTACCGGTACATCTGTTTTTTATCCAAAGTAGGTCATTAATTTACTTTAACTTTAACATGTAATTATTATTTCATTATTATTGCTACTAAAATAATTAACTTGGATGCAGGGTGGCAGAGTGGTCTAAATTGACTCACTCCAAGTAGTGGTGGTCTGAGTTCAATCTAGCCAAAGCCAACATCCCAAGCACCCGGGGGGGGAGGGGTGCGACTCCTTAGCTTTGGAATGCAACTCATCTAAGAGAAGGCTAACTCTGAATTCAAACCAGGAGCCAAAATGATCAATAAATTGATTGTGGGCCTTCAAATATGAAGAAAAAAAACATTGATTCAAAGGCTTTGGCCCCCATAGTTGTTAATATCCAAGGACTATAATAGGTTTATAATTTAAAATACATACAATAAAAAAAAAATGAAATTTGCCCTCGTAAATTTATTTGCCAAATATTTTTTTGTGTACGTTGTTTTTTTTTTTTGTTACCTTGTAATTCAAGATATGGAGATGCTGTCAGAGAGTTGGATTACGGAGTAGGCCAGATTTTGGGAGCATTGAAGGCTTATGGCGTGGCTGACAACACACTGGCATTTTTTACCTCAGACAATGGGGCAGCCACTTATGCCAAGACAAATGGTAAATGCAACATCCTTCAAATTTTATAATTCAACAGCACAAAATTTAAAGTGCCACTTTGCATTTGAAATAAAAAGTGTGATAATAATTATTATTTCAGCTAAATTGTCATATTTTAAAATCTTATTTTTAATCTTACTCATAAACCCCAGAAAAATTTAGTGTATAATTTTGAAAGGAGAAATTTACCAAAATCTTAGTTTTTTATGTTCCCCCTACTACTTAAAATAGGTGGCAGTAATGGGCCTTTTCTCTGTGGTAAAGAAACAACATACGAAGGAGGGGTGCGTGAACCCACTATCGCCTGGTGGCCAGGTAGAATATCTGGTGGTCAGGTAAAGATATGTTTGGTGCTGATGTTCTTCCTCAGATAACCGATCTCACACCTGCAACTATTACCAGCATGTTTAACCCTTATTTCACCTAGATTCCACATTTACGATTGTCCTGGTTAAAATTAATTTATTTTGACCAGTTGTCTTTCTCTGCTTGTACTGAATTCATGAACATAAATTGTAGATAACATGTTCAAGTTTTCTGATAACTTTTTTTTCTGCTTCATTCAAATTCATCATGTTTTAAATGATTGCTTTTACAATTTAATTTTTTTTTAGGCAGAAATAAACATTGATCCAACTAAAAAAAATATGTTGTCTGATAATGTTTAAGTTTAACTAAAATATTTCAGAAATGTATATAATCATTTTAAATGCTTATTTTATTATTACTACCTTAGTATCATATTCATCTAATTCTGGTTAGGTGGGAGTAATGGGCCTTTCCTTTGTGGAAAGTTGACCACTTTTGAAGGTGGGTCACGTGAGCCTACCATTGCCTGGTGGCCTAGTCAGATAAGAAGTGGTCAGGTAAAGTTTGAAAAAATCCTTTTTTCCCTCAATTAATTTTCATTGTGGGGTGAAAACATCAATTTAATTAGTCAGGAATTTGAATGGTGTTTTTGTCAGTTGCTTGGCCCTCCCAAGGATGGCCAGCTGAGTCAGTTATCTCGTGGACTTTTATTCAAGGGTCCTCAAATCAATGCAGTAATAAACATAAAAATTTGTTTTTCAGCTTGATAGATTAAGAGAATTTTGACGTTTTGGTATTTAATAATCTGTTTGAGAGCCTTGTAGATGTTCCTGGATACCTATCTCGATCTCTGATGAGCACTGACTTGTTTGTGAAGCTCACATAGAAAAGTAATGGCATAGCTAAATAGACAAAAAAGGCAAATTGCTTGGATTAAATCCAAGCCAGTATAACTTATGAAATTGAGGTTGGAATCACCTCAGAACCTTCAACATCATCAAAAGTTTGTCAAGTGAAATCAATTTAACAGCACCCAATGTTCCTGATAAAATGGATTGTTTTAGGCATAGCTCTGTTGTTGTCATTTAGTTTCTGCTCAGTTTCCCACATAATTACACGAGTGGATAAAAAATTTGATTATTTTAAAATGTCAACTTTAAAAAAATGTTCTATTAACACCAGTAAATACATACATAGTAATACTACCCTTTAAATAGTAGATACTTACTTAGTAGAAGTATATTGTAGATAGTATGGAATATAATGTGGCGGGGAATGACCGTGAAATATTTGTCGTCAATTTATTTGTTGCTTATAAATTGAATTTGCCAAAATACTCTGCACCTAGCGGCTTCACCTTGTTAGCATGTGTGAAAATTTGATTTTTTTTTTTTTTTAACATGGAGGTTTTGGTGTAAAAGGTGTTTGACCATACTTTTCATGAATCCTCTTAAGGTCAAGAGATATGACCATTTCATTTGGTCCGGTTTTCATTTTTTCAACTTCCACAGGTTTAATAAATACTTACATACATAGTCACACTGCATGGTATATGGTAGATATATGCTGTAATATTGTGAGGTGAATTGATACAGAGGTGTCCTTTAGAAGTATATGCTAGTTCCCTAGACAGCAAATTGCCTTTCTCCACACACCTAGATAACCAGTGGGAACACCACATAAGGATGATATGGTTTTTTTCATAGTGTGGCCACCACTCCGCCCCTAGTGACACCACTGGGTTGATATGCATTTAGTATTACTTTATTAGATTTATGATTATTTTTTTAAATTACGGAGGTTTGTATTGAAAATAATTTTAACTTCAGTAATCCTCGTGTTTATTTGTTTCCCTTTACTTTTTATTATTTCCCTTAGCTTAACTTATTTAAAACAAGATTTAATAGCTGGACTTTTTTCCTAAAATTCTCAGCCATTTCAATGAATATTTATAGTATAGCATAAATGGAGGAAAAAGTGGTATTCAATAGTATTTGAAATTAGGGGGTGAAATAAACTTGAAAAAAAAAATATAGTTAGAAATCTAACCACAAGGGGGATGGCCTTGGAGTAAATTATTTAAGTCCATGTCTTTATAATAATGAATGAATGACAATGGGGCAGATGAAGTTCAGGAGGTCCTGGCATACTGACTGTCTCTTTGTCTGCTTTCCACGTCACAATGCTTTGTTTATCTTTTTTAACAATTACTTTGCTATCTGTATAATATTAAATTGAGCTTGTTTGAAATACTTAAGTAAAGAAACACTTACTTAACTAACATTTTTATAATAACATAATTTCATTATTTGCACTATTTCTAGTCTTCAGATTTTTCAATTAAAAAAAGATGAATTGTTCTTCTTTGTGAAAATATCATTGGGAGATAATAATTTTTTTATTTAAGACGGGTTACCATCAATGTTTATACTGATAGGTATCTCACTGCTCCACAGGTATCCTTTCAGACAGGAAGTTTGATGGATTTCTACAGCACTTTTCTCGACCTGGCTGGCATCCCCCCACCAACTGATCGACCCATTGACGGCATAAACCTGAGATCTGCTTTGTTGGATGGGAAGACAGTAGATAGGTAAGCTTAGAGCAAGTTCTGAACCTTCATCATGTTGTGTATTGATGTCTTAGCGATCAGGATCTGGAATCTAGAGAATGTTAAAAAGTTAGATTGTTTGTTCTTTGATCAGCAGTGGTGCTACAGACTATTACTAACTTATAGAAGGACACCAATGATGACTTTTTTTTTTTTTAACCATCACAATGTGATGATGGTGTAGACTTCGTAGGACGAAATCACAAAGCCTGGGATTTAACTTTAGAAGTATACGCTAGTTCCCTATATGGCAAATCGCCTTTCTCCACACACCTGGATAACCCAAGGGAACTCCACATATGGATGATAGGGATATTTTTCATAGTGGCAGTGTTGTCCCCCTACGGGACTCCATCTCCAGGGTTTTAATCCTCAGTTTCCTTCCCTCATAAATGAGTTGCCATCTAAGGTTAATGGGTCCCATCCACTCGGGGTGCTGATGTTTTTGCTTGACTTAGGTGAGAATTGAACTCCAGACCACATCACAAGCTTGGGATTGACTCAGTGTCAGCCACACCTAGCACCCACAGTAAGAAAATAAAAGGAATGTGCCTCATACCAAATCCCTTTGCTCAGTCAACAGTGCGACACAATAGTCGATAGATTAGTAGCATAATCAATGCCTTTTTTAACATATTATCCAGGCCCATATTTTACTACAGAGGAGATCTCCTAATGGCTGCAAGAGTTGGTAAATTCAAAGCTCACTTCTGGACCTGGTCAAACAGCTGGCAAGAGTACCAAAATGTAAGACATGTCTTTTTAATGTGTTCTTTTGTACAGTGCTGTCAGCATACTAGGCATCACTCTTTAAATGTCTTGTCAACATGTTGCAGTATGCAATAATGTTTGCACAGCAAATTTTTTTCATGTTTTTTTGTTTAAAAATTTGTTGGGAATATACTAGATGTGTCTAAGAGGGCTAGAAATGGGCATTTTCAGAAGATAAATCACAACTTGGAGAAGAAAAAAAAAACTAAAGGGCTTAATGATGACAATTCATATTATCATCAGTGTTTTGGTTATCTTTTTTATGTTAATGATAACCAATTTGATTTTGATTCACAAGATTGATAATTTAATTTTTCTATTTCATATAAAAAAATTTTTAAACTCGATAATTTTGTATTGATACTATTTTCCAATGTGCAACCCTGCGCCGGGTTTTAACATGAACTGGTACTTCATTATTTATTTATTCATAATTCATTATGAATTGATTATTTATTTATTCACCCTTTATTAATTCATAATCAATTAATTCATCATCTCAAGGGCACTGGGGTAGACTTCTGCCCAGGGCAAGATGTTCTAGGAGTTACCACCCATGAACAGGTCAACCGGACATTAGAGCCTTTGCTTTTTGCCCTCGGCGCAGATCCAGGGGAAAAATATGTCATTAGGTTAGCACTGTGATTTGATTATGTCGTCTTTTCGAAAGTGCCTAGTATCAGCTTTATCACATAATTAGACTGCGTATTTGTTAGTCAACAGATGCAGTTCAGTGGTTACCAATTTTTAAACATGAAATGGGCTCACAAAAATATATATTTACAACATTGTTGTTGCACCTACACTTGTGTTAAACTTTAAATAAAGGCATTCAAAAAATTAATACTGGGTTTGTAACCATCATGGAAGTTTCATCTAACTTTTAACAATGCAAATCATTAAGTAAGACATTTTATAATCAGTTATGTTATTATGATGGTCTAGACCCAGCTCAGAGAAATATAGAAAACATTAAGGCACCTTCTAATCAGTGATATTAATATGATGCTTTAGACCCATTTCAGAGAGATACAGAATAAATGAGGACACCTAATCAGTGATATTAATATGACTTTAGACCCATTCCAGAGAGATATAGAAAAAATGAGGACACCTGATCAGTGATATTAATGTGATGCTTTAGACCCATTCCAGAGAGATACAGAAAACATTAAGACACCTTCTAATCAGTGATATTATTATTATGCTTTAGGCCAAGTTCAGAGAGATACAGAAAACAGATGCCTCTTATCATGGAAGCAGTAAATGAACATTTGGCAAACCTTGTACCTGGTGCCCCGCAACTTAACATATGTGATGACTCTGTCATGGTAGGTCATTTTTTTAAAAAAAATGTTAAGTCCTGATAACTTGTAAATAAATTCATGTTGGTAAAAGTGTAGATGATATATATGGGTATGTACGCACTGTTTTAATTAGTTTTAATTCTTTAAAACTTCTGAATATTAATATTGAGCCCGGGTTAATAGATGCCACAGTTTACTGGTTAGTCTTAAATCCATTACATTGTTTGTTCCTGGAAATTTCAGTTTTTGAACCTATTTAAGCAAATATTTACATAATCAATCTAGCAACTAGTAGTAGTAGCTATATTCCCATAAAATTTTTTTAAAGAATGGAATTAGGGTCAAAATATAGAAATCAAAAAGTGCTGAACATCAGCTAACATTTATCCACTACAATAAAGTTTACAGCTGTATAAAAATGAAATCAAGGCTCATTTTTCTCAATCTTCTTTCATGGCTCATGTGTATACCCATATTTAAAAAATTTTTATGAGCTGTCCTGCTTCTAGTTTGTGAATTTAAATATTAGCAAAAAACATGATTCTTAATAAATGCAGTGGACATGTTTACAAATGAAAAACTTACTGAATGATTTCAATTTGCACAACAGGACGGTATCGTCTTGTTTCAAACTGCTACTTTGAACCCAATTTTTTTTTTTCAGAACTGGGCTCCGCAAGGGTGTGAGAAATTGGGACGCTGTTTGCCTATTCCAAAGTCCAACCCTTCAAAATGTGACTGGCCTCACTAGACCATCGTCTTGTTCCTGCATCAATGCAAATGAGACACATACAGGGTATTAAGAATATTTTTATGTGGGTTGATATTTGCAATGGAAGACTTTGACTTCTCGTTTTTATTGTAAAACAAGTTAACCATGAGTTTTTATTTTCTCTGTCAAGAAATTAAAATATGCTTACCTGTACTGGTATTTGCCTACCTGCATTTGCCTTCTGGTATTTGCCAACTTATATTTATAGCACTAACTTTTTTGGTTACTGACAAACTTAATAAATATGTACTGAAAAATTCCTCATTATGGATATGTATTAATACTTCATGGATATATTTTCATGCATGAATTTGTGCCAAAAATTGTTAACAGATTTTTGCTACATCAGCATTTTGTATTTATTTAAGTATCCTGTAAATATGAGAAGTTTGTCATTTTTTTCTCTACCCATTTATCACATATTTGTACAATGCTCTATTTTACACTACGCATGGCCACCCAATGTGGCATGTGGAGGTAAGGGTGTTTTTTTTTTTTTTTTTATATGACCTTTTTGGACCAATATGTTTGGGGGACGCTCATCTGATTTTTAATTTTTTTTAAACATTTTTAATTGATAGTTTAAATTTTTTAAATTTTATCACATATTTGTACAATGCTCTATTTTACACTACGCATGGCCACCCAATGTGGCATGTGGAGGTAAGGGTGTTTTTTTTTTTTTTTTATATGACCTATTTGGACCAATATGTTTGGAGGACGCTCATCTGATTTTTAATATTTGTTAAACATTTTTAATTGATAGTTTAAATTGTTTAAACTTAAGTCTAAGTCTATTGGTTTTGATATTTCTTCTCCCTTTAGTTCTTGAACATTTTATATTTACTGCTGGCTTGCCATGCTTGGCAGCTTCAACTTCTATCTGGGGATTAATTCAATTTGAGGTGTCAACGTTCTTGCTGCTAACATCTTTTACCAAGGAGATACAGTGGGTGACCTGCCACAATATGTGATGCCTGCTGAAGGTTAATGTTGTGTCCTTAACAGTCGGTCCACAGACATCTTCCTCTGGCCCTGAAACAGGAGCGCCTGTTATTTTAGGCCTGCATTGCAGGTTGGTTGACATGCATACTGACCAGATGGCCAAACCAATTAACTAGCAGTTGGCCCATTTATTGGCTGAATGGTACGGCCCCAAACATTTGTCTTATTTCCTGGTCCAATCTCGCTTTACCTTCAAGCATCTCAAGACAATATCTATGTCAGTTTATTTTTACATTCATGAAGCATTTGCGGAAGGAGAGTTTTTAAAAATATTTTCAAATCATGCAAACAACATCACAACTGACTAAAGGAAAGTATACCCAAGATCCTAATGCATAGCAGACAAGAAACACCTCTCACTTTCTCAGCAGTTAAAAAAGGAAGGAACTGATCCATTTCAATGACACTTTCTTCTCTGTTGTGCATCAATTACTTAAACTTTGTAAAATACAATGGCTGCTTATCAAGTTTTTATTAGTTTGTTGGCTTCATAAATTTTAATAAACCAAAATTTTCAATAAAATTAAATTGTAAATTAGACAGGGAATATATTATGTTAATATGCATTAATTACATGACAAGAATTCACACTTTTGAATTTCACCTACCGTTGTAATTGTATTGATGTAAGTGTAACCTAAAACACTGCATTTTTTTTTTTTTTTAATCAACTTAGATTTTTTTAAAGAACATTCCATTTCTGAATATTTTTTTGTTATGTGACCCAATTGTTCAATTGAAAAGAGAAAAAAACAAATTGAGCTCACTGTCTTTCCAGTTTTCATTTTATCCTGCAAGATCCCTTTATTGACACTTATTACAATAAAATAGCATTGCTCGAAATAAGATGCCAAAGGATAAGTTTAAATTTCATGATTTTTTTCACAATGGAATAGCAAGAACGGAAATCTGGGAAAATTTTAAAATTTATTAATGAATGGTTCTCATGCTGAGATGTACCGATTAATAAAAAATGACATGTTTAAAATTCAGTTCAAAATTTGCATTTAGCATTATTAGCTTACATGAATTTTAATTTCAAACTATTGATTTCATCTTTTTAAGGTCGTGTATCATGTATAATAAAAAAAAGTTGGTTGACATTTAAGCCCACTTGATGTCTTTCAAAATTTGTTGGGTCCTTGATTTATCACATTCCAAAATTGTTTAACTACAATATCACTTGCAAAATAAATTTCTAGGTAAAAAATTAATTAAACCTTATATTCCAGTGAAGCAACTTTGTTACAAAAAAATCCAATATACTAGTTACTTCACTTTAAAAAAAAAGATACACTTAATATTTAATGTATTTATTTAATTTGGTGATAGAAAAGTGACAGATAAAAAGTTGTGTTACTTGTAAAACACAAAGGAATACTGCTTAAAGAAAAGCTGAAAGCAGTGACGCTGTATTAAATGGCTTTTCAGTAGAAATCTTTTTTTTATTTTAAATTACACACCAAGAACAGCAACAATAAGTTTCTATTTCAGTTTTAGCTTTAAATTACTAGTTCCAGCTTTTTATCTTACATGTCAATTGTTCCTTGAATCCCCTTCCAAAGAAAGCACCATCAGACTTGAAGACAATATACATGCCAGTCCGAGTTGATGAACTTTGGGGTGTAAGAGTATCACAGGATTTACCCAGTTGTTTGCCACTAGCAGCAGAAGATGCATTGTCAGTGAGTCAAAGGCAGATGATGTGCCGAAAATTTCAGTGTCCATATTGAGAAGCTGAAAGAGTACCGGGTACATACAATAACTACAAACAAAGAGACTAATAAACTCAAGCTTAGTTCATCTACTTGCATCAAATTGCAAACTTTAGGTCTTTAAAAGTTTAAAATCTTGACTCAGTTATTTCAAATGATTCTTTCCATGCGTGCACATATAGTATTTTTTTAAAACTTACAGGTTAATATAAAATTTGTTAAAAAATATATTTGTGTACAGATGAGCTGTGTTAGAAATATTTTGAATAACAACAAGGTAAAAGATGCAAGTATTATTTTTGGATAAAAATAACCTTAGTGATAGGTGAGTACATTATGCTTACCTGAGAGTGATTGTGGAGTGTGTCAACACTCAAATATACCAACTACAAGTGAAATTAGCTGTGGGTAGCCAGAATTCACAACAAACCCAGAGCTAGAGGTTATTGTTGAATTGCGTGCTGAGGAAATATTTAAAGGATACTTTAATTACAAGAGAAGGTGGAAAATTATATTTTTTAATTGCGTTTCGTTAAGCTTAAGTAAAAAAAAAATCAATTAAAATATGTCCAATTCAATGAGTTCTTAATCTGGAACTGGAATGTTCAGATCCATGTGAATTACAGTGAAAGAATTTAAGTAAAAGAATAATACAAAAATGAAATGTTGCAGCTTTTTAAATTAAAAATAAAACAAACAAAAAACATGACCGTAAAATGGACATTTCCTTTGATATTCTGTGGAAGTCTCTTAATTCTTAAGTTAAAGTTGATCTTTTAAGTGCCTGTTAAAAATGTTTTAAAACCTTCCTTAGACCACCAAGTCTTGCAAACTCCATATTCTTTCATTATCTTAACATAAATATAATTTTTTAAATTTAAGATCAAAAGTAGTTAGAAAGAAAATGAATAACACATCATGCCTATTGTACTGAAAATTGTTCAGCTTTGTGAAATTTAATTGTCAGTCTTTGAAAAAAGTGAGTTGGCTTGAAATATTAGAATTCCTAAACTCCTAGACTAAAATAGCTTAGTATGTTCAAACATATTTGACTAATTGATTGAATACTGTTATAGCGATTGTATCCTTTCTATTTTACCATGCTCACAATGCTTTGATGGCCTTATTAAAATTAAAGCATTACTTTTGATCTCTGAACACTGAGTTATTGCGTGAGTCTATTTCAACCCACGGTGGGCATTGGCAGACTTCATCTTTGAATATTTCGTTTTCACCTCAATGGTATTGGTATATAATGACATTTGCCTCCCCTGGCTATAACTATAACTCAATTCATTGTTATAATGCGTTATAATAACTATAACTGACTTCATTGATACAATGGCATTTGTCTTGCCTGACTATAACTCACTTCATTGTTGACATTCGTCTCTTCTTACTATAACCCACTTCATTGTTTTAATGGCTTTTGTCTCCCCTGCCTATTACTCACTTCATTGTTATAATGGCATTTGTCCCCCCTGACTATAACTCGCTCATTGTTATAATGGCTTTTGTCTCCCCTGCCTATTACTCCTTCATTGTTATAATGGCATAGGCCTCCTCCGACACTATAGCTAAATGACAAATTTTTTTTCAATTCATAATCATTTGTTTATGTTACATAACTCACCTGTCCCATTCAAAACAGATTTTAAAGAATGCCTCTCAGCTCAGTGTCTCATCACTTATTAATTTCATTTTTATTATTATTAAAAAAAATTAGTATAATTGAAATTGAGTTCAAATGAATAGGTTTTCATTTCACTTTTATTTGTAAATTCCTACATGATCACTTTGATGCAGCTTATTACAATGAAATATTTCATTTTCATTGTTTCTATAGTATAGTAGTTACTATCCTAGTGTCTCATTTTTATTTTACTTAGTTTACATGTTTTTAATAATTGTACAGCGCTTAGAGCTTTATGGTAAGCGCTATATAAAAATGACTAAATAAGTAAATAAATAACATTGTGCTAAACAAGATACAAAAAGATACATTTAAATCAAATGATTGATTTATTTAACCCAAAAATTATAAGTACAGAAAGTTGAAATCAGGACAATTTTTTAAATGTAAATTGTATTAATTAATAGTAGTAATGATGAGATGACCTAAACGTCAGAAATAAAATGGTGTAAAAATTAAAAATTACATGTTACTATTGGGCTCAAAAATTTGTAAACTCAAAATTTGCCTTTAGCATAATTGGTCAATATAAATGCATCTTTTTTAACTCTCTTCAGTCCGACTATAGAGAAATGGTACTTATAAAGATTTTGTGGGTGGGTTATTTATTTTTTTACTTTTTTTTTTATTGAAAAAAATTATTTATTATATTTTAATAATTTGTTTCATTGGTTTAAGTATTGGTAAAAAAATTAAAATTATTACAAAATTTGAAATTACTATTAAAAAAATATATTTTTGGAAACTTATTCAGCGCGGTGTATCCCTTGAAAGCTTCGCAGATTTCCAAAAAATAAAAAAAATATAAGTCTCACAAAGAAAATTAAATACTAGTATGAATATTGTCAAATGATTTTAATTTTCCAATTTATCAAGGAGTTATTTGTTTGCCCAAAGCAATGTATCCAAATGGAGACTCTAATCATGAAATTTATCACGATTTGCATATAAAAGTACCGACTAATGCTATCGTAAACAAGTAAGCTTAATTTTAATTATCATTTCCCGACTTTAAAATTAATAATAAAACAATAAAGTGATATTTTTATAATTTTAATTGGCTGAAGTATATATTATCCATTTATACTTATATTGATATATTCTATTTGAATTTTATTGAGTTTCAATAATTATATAATAAATAAATAGCGTCGCTATGCGAAATAAATATTTTTAAAAAATAGCGGAAAATTTCGGCCGATTGGAACTTGCGTAATTAAATAAATTTAAAGTTAAGGACTTCTGAGTTATTAACTAAATATATTTCTTTAAAATATGTTACAGCCAAGAATAATCTTCTAAATTTTCTAATATTGCATAGTAGATCTCTCTAACTCTATTGGGAAGGAGGAGAGAGAGACAAAAATGCAGATATTGGATCAAGAAGCCCTTATTCCTTATTGATCCTAAATATTAAGCCTGGACTCCACCCTTTTACTGAGTTACAGAGTTACTGGATGAATATCTTTGAAGATTTTACCCTAAAAACAAGTGGTGGTAAGTTTTAATCTAATCACTTGGTAGCAAAATGCATAAAGAATAAACTCACAATATTGTTATAACATATGTTATAATGTATTTTCTATGTACAATGGTTTACTTTTATACTAATTTAGGCATTTGGACTAGGATTAATGGTATTTTCCCTTACTGATAGCATACCATTACTGATATCATTAGCGTTAATTTATTTATGAATCAATAAAAAAAATTTTTTCACAGGTTCTTTATTGAGTGAATATCCTGTGGTGAAAAATCTTACCTAATCTTATGTAGAAATCAAGTCCAGGACAAGCTCTTATTTATCAAATTTATTATTATAATAAAACTGCAGACTGTTTTAAGAAATAATTTTTGTTCAGAGTCCATAAATATAATTAAGGAATACTGTAGTTTATCAGCCTGTGTTATGTGAGGATTATAACAAAGATATATAAAAATGCCGGTACATGGGAAAAAATAGATCACATTAGTGAGGAATGGATCGTATTTGACATTAATATCAAAATTAGCATTATTGTACTGAAACATTTAAATTTTTTTCAACTTTAACATCAGCGAATACCGCTATTTTAAAATTTAAAAAAAAAAACATTGACTCTTGTTTTGAGTTATTTATATAATCATCAAATTTTACATAGTGATCTTTTACTCAAGAATTATTAAGAAATATATTTAATATACAAATCTATAAGCTATGAGGCCCATTTTTTAAAATATATTACATACAAAACATAATTTTAATTAAAAGAAAAATTATAGTGCATTTTTAAGGAAAAAAAGACAAAATATAGGTTTTGCTAAAATGTTGACAACTTTTTCATTGTTCAAAGAATTTTTGTCATGTTTCACTATGAATTGTATAAGTTGATGAAGTATTTTATTTAAATAAATCTTAAATCTTTTATAACAAGGATTTTTTTTTTCCTTCATACTGTGTGAAAATTTTGTCAAAACTTTGCATAAAATGAAAAAAAATAATTCTCCAATAATGTTTCAATTATTTTTATAACTAAGAAAATAAAAATATACAAAAAATATCTAATGATAGCTGAGTCAAAGATGAACAAGTTAATATATTTAACTGATCAGATCAGAGCTATTTCAGATCAGTTAATTAATTATTTTAAAAAATCACCTTAAGATTTTTAAGAAATGTGAAAAAAACGTCAGACTGCAGAAAGTTAAGGTGATGTAAAGCCAAAAAAGTTGACATACATCACATTTTTATCTTTCAAAATTTGGTGGGCCCTAGATTTATCAAATTTAAAAAAATTATGAAATTAAAATATCACTTGCAAGATGTATTTTTCTAGATCAACAAATGATTTAACCTTCTTTTCCAGGGAAGCAACTTCCTTGCAAAAAACAAC